ACATGTCCTCAAACCCTTGAATTACAGTGAGGAAGTGAAATTTTCCTGTTTTGTCCATTCAATAGTGAAGGTTGCGAGGCAGGACATAATAAATGCAAAATGCAAATTCTGCAACCCCAATTATTTTTTTCTTTTCTTTTTTTTTTTTTTTTTGCTTAGTCAATATTTATGCTAGTTTTAGTATATTCTCAAACGAAAGGAATGTTGAGAAGACCATTGACATTAGTTCAATTGAGAGTATGAGACTCTCAGAGATAAACTCCAAGGCTGCAGAAATAAGGATTAATCGGAACCATCCACCCAAGGAAGGCACACATCAAAAGAAAGCAACTGAACTCCACTCTACAAAATTATTACAAATGGTAGCATCATACATTCATACCTTATCATCAAGTGATTGCTTCAACCGCTTCAGTGCTTCAAATTCACCACCTTTAAATGGAGAAAATTCATGCTGCAAAACTAATTTAAATTTTTAGCAAATATGTGAAACAAAATTTTATAAACCAAAAGCCCTTAAATAGTTGGCAGTGTCAGATTTCATACCTGTCCAACATCTAGATAGCCAAGTTCTTCCATTGTCGGAACATTTGAAATTTGCAAATCACCTATATCCCCAGGAGGAGGAATTGATGATGGTCCAGTTGAAACTGGAGAAGAAGCCCAAGTGGGTTGACCAGCAACCTTCAGAAATGACTGGTATGTAAGAGGTGGCTTGCCCCCGTTCTGTTAAAACGTGATGTAAACAGAAAACCAATTTAAAGTATTAGCCAAAATAATTGTTCAAATGAATTGAGCTTAAAATTTGCATTATTATTCTTCATATATCTTTGTTCAAAATAATTGTCCAAAATGTGCATTATTCCATATATCTTTGTTCAACTTTTGTTTCAACTTTTGAAAACAGAATTACAATATCAGAAAGCATCTTCCTTGCAACAACATTTACAGCACATGCTCCAATATTAAGCAGTTCATCAGAGTCAAAAGAGGGTCTAGATTACCTTAGCTATAACCGCTCTAGGATCAAACAGCGTATGACTCACAGGAGAGAAAACTTCGATTCCTTCTTGAGATGCATACTTCTGTGAATATCAACTTCCAGTAATTAGAAGAACAATTAGCTGAACACAACAAAATGCAAAACATAGAAACAGATTGTCCAATGCAGACGACAGTAGGGGAGATGTAGCGAGTTCCTAGCAATATGGAATGGAGAAAGAAACAACCTCAACACAACATTACCTCGACTCTAGCACTCAAATCTTGATAATATGGATCAGTATCATACTCAAAGCAAAGCTTCTTTATGTTCCACTGCATAAAAGCCACAAAGAAAAAGAGAAAAAAAAAAAAAAAAAAAAAAAAAAAAAAAAAAAAAAAAGAACACACATGATCATAATCGTGTGAGATCAATGCAAATCTTCGATTATGCTTCATTACATAAGACCAATGTACAACTTCAACCATGTTTCCAAACTATTCATTTTGCACGAGCAGAAATACATACAAAACAAACTCAATACAGAGTAAAAACTAGCACAAAAACATTATAAAATAGCTTTATAGGTCCATTTATGTACGAAGTCCTATACACTATCTTGCAAACGAATCAGATATACTAATCAAATCACCAAATTTACATTTACTTTTTTCGAAACTTGAACATACATACAGTCACAATTCCTTATAAGGAATGTTCAATATTCAATTTTTAGTGCAAAAGTCTAAACGTAAACCAAAGAAAGTGCAAATGATTTAAAATTGGCTAGTAACCAACTGATTAAACCAATGTTCATCTTTTCCCTCCAAACAAACCCCTTTTAAAATGTTTTAGTATAAACTCCCTCCGTTTTATATAGATTCTCTCTCCTTCAATTCTCTCAACTACTTTTGTTTTTTTTGCAACATTTTATCTTTCCATCAATCCCATTACCTCTATATTTTATTACTTCCCTAATTTCTCCTAAAATTCCGCACATAACAAAATAAAGCAAGTAATTAAAAACAAAGGAAGTACTAAAATTTTAATAATACTACACTACTAAAAGTCTAAAAGTACAAAACCAACAACACTCCGTAACTTGTACCTGATGTACTAGGAGTTCCGGTCACCAAATGTTCTTTTCTTCCTTATTTTTTACGGAGAACTATAAAAATACTCCGTACCCTTGATTGGATATAAGCAACCTTATCCCTATAACAAACAAGTAACAAGTGCAACCATATAATGATTCACAATTAATAAATATACCTGTTTTAAGCAATGAGTCAATACATCACCAGGTTCACCCTTAAAAACCAACAACCTAGACCCAATCTTCTTAAGATTACAATCCAAGTCCACCAAACTCTCAAGCAAAAACTTAATCCGGTTCACCCCAGCCCTAGACGAACCGGGTGAGAAAGCATCCGGGTCAGGCTCCATATAATGCGGGTCAATCACGAAAACCGGGTACACAAAATCCGACCCATTAGCAGCATGTTCTAAAGCCGGGTTGTCGTGAATTCGGAGCCCTTTTCTGAACCAGATTAAAGAAGAATTACCCGAATCCGCCATTTTTGGAAGAATTGAGGAAGTTATTGAAAATGGGGGTTTGAATTTGGGAGAGAGGAAGAAGAGGTGGTTTGAGGAGAGAGAAAGGGGAAGGCGCATTTGGGAAGTTATTAAATTTGGCGCCTTTGACAAGGAGAGAGATTATGGTTACATTTGGTTTGGGGTTTGGGCTAATGTGCATTTGTGAGGAGGTTGTATGGTTGGTTTGGGGATGCACCACGTCGTGCCACTCATTATCACTAGCCTAGACATGAATTACAACTCTACAAGTATAACATAATTTGTCGAAATAATAAGAGAAATTTCATATTTATCTCCTCGATTATCTTTAGCAGTTTTTTTAGGGTGAAAACGTAAAGTCGCGCATTTAATGAGTGGGTATATTGGGCAATTCAGCAATTACTGAAACGTAGCGTGACTCTTCCGTCCATTGACTGTTAATCTTGCTTAACAAAACTAACCTGACTTCAACCACGTGCGAGACACGTTTCACCTTCCTCAATAACGTCTGCAAAATATTTACTAAATGGGAGGTGTTGCCCACTTTGGTGTCGTGGATGCGAGCCGGGAAAGTACCTAATTCCCCAAGTGTTTGAAGGATTCAGCAAAATGGCGTAATTGTTGTTCGATTTAGCCGCGAAGCAGCGTTAAGGTGATGTTTTCCCTAAAGGGTTAATATGGCCCTACTTTACACACTTTGCTACTAGGGTTTCTATTTGTTCGCCTGACCGGTCTACAGTCGCGAAGCGGCATCATGGAGTTACTTCATGGCGGAATTGTTGGCAATGGAACACGAGCTCTTTGATGATGGTGGCCGTGATGGATTTCGGAGTGGAAAGGTGAAGATAAGAGGGAATGGTGTCATCTTCTTCCTCTTCGAACTCCTCCATGGCTTCACACTGAAACGACCTTGCCTTCATAACGAGTGGATAAATGTTCTAAGTGGTTGTTATTTAAATTCATAGTGACAAGTCGTTTTTTTTTTTTTTTGTTCTGATTGTGTTATTGGTATTCATCTTCTCCATAGCTCGTATTCACTCATTTTCTCTCTCCTAACGTCCCAATGGTTTATGGCAAAGATAAACTAGTAACCATGGTTAAGCAATTGTTTCTAATGTTGAAGTCAAACGTTATGTACCTTTTAACTTACCTTTTCTTTCTTTACATTATTTTATTAGGCTGACACATTAGAACTTCGTTTTTATTACATAGTTGCCATCCGATTTCCTAGTTTCGTTTATCTTGGAGATAAATGGGGACTACCTCAAGTAATAATGATAGAATGTGCTATGCATTATTTTAAGGGAGGTGATCGTGAGATCCAATACAACTTGTAGATCGATTTGTTGTTCAATAAATAAGATTGGAGTAACATAAAGTGATTAATTAGTTGTTGAATATCATCCATAAGTAACTGAATCTTCCATATAGTTTTGATATTGGCCCTGCAAAATTGTATGAAGTAATAATTATTAAGTCATTACGTTCTACAACCGTGTTGAATGCTCGGTTGCTTTCAACCAACCACATTACAAGTATTATACATACCATACAAGGGGAAGTGAAGTCTAAAGGAGATGTTTGATAGGAGATAGCAAGCTTTAGCTGAATTTTGATCACAACTCTTGCCACAATGAAATTATTTATAATCGCGCCATCAAAATTGAGCTTAAAAATACCAGGGGTGGAGGCATCCAAACAACTCTAATAGCATAGTTAGCTTTCGGAGAAGGGACGATAAGGGGTTAGAGATTACAAATTAAATAATTGATTTTAATATGAAGTTTTCCATTAACTAGAAATTTAGAGACACTTTAGCACCTTTGAAAACCTTATACTTATATTTAATCACAATGATCTATTTTGGCAAAAAATTGACTAGTCCTATGTTCAACTCTGCAATTGCTTCAAGTTCAAGCAATTGTTATGTATATGTGATCCAATGAAAGTACGGTCAAGATGGATCCCTCCAAGTCATTAGGACAATGTTAGTAGAACATACCCTCGTTTATTTTTTTTGCCCTTTTGTTTAATCCTTCATTTCATTGAGGCTAAAAGCACTATTTTATGCTCTGTACCCCACCCTGTTATAACACCCCTCCTTAGGTCCATTTTTTTTTTTTTATGTCTGACTTATTTTTGAAAAGTGAATGCCTGAAATTAAGGATTCGTTTGGTCGACAAGGGAAATAAATTCCCGTAAAAAGTTGTATTTCATTGGAAATGATTTCCCAAATGAAATTCATAGGAATTTCTTTGATGTTTCGTGGGAAGTAAAAATTTCCATGTTAATTCCAAAAAAATTCAATGTGGCTGCTGGGATTCGAGCCCAGGTCTCCACGGCCACAACGTGGAATTCTAACCACTAAACTACAGCCACTTCTTTATTTAATAATCAATATAAATTATAATTGTAGGAAACAAAGTACGTATTTTACCAAGGATTTTAATTCGACCGATGAGAAATTCCAGAAATTTTAGAAGAATCAACTGACAAACGATCGGTGATCAAAATGCTTAGGTACGCTACGATTCTCCTTGTTTATTTTAATTAAATCTTGTCGATTTTCGATTATTTTAATTGTCTGCATTTCAATTTTATGGTGTTCAAGTCATAATCATAATTTGCCCTAATTTGATTCTATATCTATAACATTTTGTATTCCGTAATTGTAATTTAGTTGCTTAAAATTAATTTTGATTTTACTGCTATTACTAATTTACTATATGTAGCTGCATTGTTAAATGAAATTGAGGATTAGTTATTAGACCCTGTCGATGTCTGTTTAAATTTGATTAATTTGATTCTTAATAAATATGCTGAATATTAATATGATCGAATTTTAGTTTTGATTTAGTGTGAGGGAGAGTATTAAGGATACGAAGTTTGTAAAGAATTATGATTCGTTCGGTCCGGGAAATTGTTTAGAAATTAGAAGTTTTTGTGGATTTGTAAACCTAAAGAAGTGTAGAGTTTAAAGATTTTCTGTCATTTGTGTGGATTTTGTAAGGAAAAGAAGCTTATATATCCTTCCATCCCGAAATGATTTTGTAAGGAAAAGAAGCTTATATATCCTTCCATCCCGAAATGCTATTCGCACTCGAAATAGGTATGTTGATTGATGGTTAAATATAGAGTGAAATATTGAAATTGATGTTTAATTATAGAGTGATGAATTGGAAGTGTGTAAACTGGGAGGATGGAAGTTTCGAGTTCTTTTTTGGTACCGGTAAAATGGAATGTGTTGATTACAATTTGTGAAACGGGGTGGGGGGGGGGGGGAGGAGAGAGAGAAGTTTAAGTGGAATGAAGGTTCGAGTGATGAAGTTATGTATTTTTGTGGCAGAATGTATATGATGCAATGGCAGGAGCATTCCTCTTTATCAATCCTTCCTCCCCTTTGATGTTTAGTGATTACACTGATTTGCTTTAACCTCTAGGACAATGGCCAATCACTTCCTAGTTCCTACCATAGAAAATAGGAAAGCTTAGGAAGTGGTACCCGGATGTTAGAGGAAATTTTGTTTAGGTGTCACTTTGTCATAGGCTGCACCTTGCAACCGTAATGATGTGTTCGTTTATAATAATGATCAATTAAGACTTCTGATATTGGCTCATGCTTGTATTTATAACTCTTACACACAAATTGGTAAACTACATTATATGTTTTGTGCAAAAGAGGTAGTTTGGGCGCATGGCTATCTTACAAGGAGAAAGTTGATTGGCTGTTGTTGGGCAAGGATGGTACTTAATAAAGACAAAGGAGAAGGTTACACTGGCAAATTTAGAGTTTTAAAAATCAATTTTTTAGAGACAGTAGTGAGGCGCTAATCAAATCATTGAATATAATGAATCTCGAGTTGGTTTGTTTGCAACTTTATTATATAAGGCAATTATTGTCACATGAATATGAAGCTATGTACTTTGCATCGTCTGGATATTACAAATTTGTGAATGCTATGTCTATGATTATTGATTAATGATTATATGCATTTAGTGTACCCTTTTTTTTGGTTTGCTTTTGATACATGGTACTTGCATAGTTGCTTCACTCTGGAATGAGAAGCAACTAAATTACAATTATGGAGAATGGGTTAGATTAAGCTTTTATTCAATTTCCCCTGGAAGAATGAGCATTCCTAGTAAGTTAAGAATGCACATCCTCTCATTACAGTTCAGGCACTTGTGAGCTTGTTATGATTTTGTCATAGTAGGAATTGTTTTGTGAAATTGTGATGTTTGATGATCAACATGTTTCAGGACATTTGTCTTGGTTGTTGCATCAGGAACATTCTATGTGTACAGTGTAACAACCTAAGCCTTACTAGTTACTACTCAGTTGTTAATCTTTAACCCATTAACTGTGCACTTATGGAGCTATAGCCAATCAGAAGAGGAATGTTAGAAATTAGTTTAGAACTCAGAGTTTGCTGGAGATTTAAGACCTAACATTTACTGTGACCGCTCTAACAAAATCAACATTCTTTCACTGATGAATTTACATGTCATTCCATTGTTTATATTTAATTCTCTCTTTTTCTCCCTATATTTTGAATGGTGAGGAATGCTGATTTCAGAGATGTCCCACCACAATACCAATGTAACTTATGATTTTGCATGAGGGGGAGGGGGTGTGCTGTTCAAATCTGAATTTACACTCATCTTAAATAATAACATTATCAGGCTGTGAAAAGGGCTTAAAAAGGCATGGAAATCAGGTATATGAAAAACTCTGTTGCTGATGGTGGCTTTCTTTCCAGGACTATGACTCTGTGAGTTGAGGTTCTAAGTTTCTCTGTGCTACATAATTGGAGGTATAGAGCTGAATGGCTATCGATTGAGGTTGTTATTATGCTTGAAAAGAAAGAGATAACTGAATCTTTAGTGAATATGAAGCTAAGTAACAGTTCCAATCCCTCATTATAGTTGCAGTTTTTGTCTCATGCAGTTTGCTTGCTTAAAGGTCTATTTCTGCCTGGCTGATCCTAGCTCTTTGCATTGACTTTATGCCAAAAAGAGGGTGTTTTTTTCAGAGTGTGTTGAATATTGATTGATGGTGTGACTGTAGGTTCTCTAGGTATACGGCATTAGGTCATGCTAACCTGTTACTGAGAGTTTGTGGGTGTAGTAGTGTACTGGATTCTCTATCTTTGGAAGGAAGGAGTCTTTACGTGTGTGTCATTTTAGTAACTACACTTTTAGGACTGTAGACTGTGGGATCTAGAGTTTATGTATCAGGATTCAGGAGTGTCCGACATAGCCTGTCTATCGTGCTGTTGATTTATGGATATACTGACTGCCAAGGATGGCTAATTTTGCTGCTTTGTTGTTTATGTAAATGCATTATGGATATAAATATTTTCGTGATCGCATTGAAGAAGTTTTTTTTATTTGACAACCTGTTATAGATTGGATACACAGGAAAACAAGAGATTTGGAGAAGGATTGTATTTGATGAACTTAAATACGAAATAAAAAAAATAGAGCATACAATCCCAGCTTAATTGGCTGCCATGCTCACACTAAGAATAAGCAAAAAAAAAAAAAAACCTTCTGATCAATATTCATTATACGCCCCCACCCCCCCCCCCCCCAAAAAAAAAAGAGAAACTCATCTATTGATGGACTAACTCCCCTCTTCTTGTTGCTCAAGCTACCTCCAACTGAATCATAATAAATATCCCAGTTGCACCCTTCTTCTATGCCCAATGCATTACAGGCTTACACAATCCCACAAAAACATTGTCTTCTGTTGATTGCAATGAAGAAGTCTAATTTTAGACAGAGCTGCTTCTTGTACCTGACAAGCTGACATTTCAATGATTTCAATTAGAGGAAGGGACTTTTTATTTTTTATTTTTTATAAATTGGGATAACTAAAGATTTTAATTTCTGAGCAAGTGAGCAGTTAGAGGATATCTGATAACAAATGTTATTTAGGTTAGAATGTGGCTCATGACCTGTTGTCTATACTCTAATCTTATTTTCTCATGGGGTTCAGACTTTTTTGATGGTTCAGGAACTATGGAGATCAAGCTAGAGATCGCTAATCTTTATTGCTTTTGTATTTTCAAAATCTGAGAAACATGAAGCAGGACTTGTCAAATTATTTTAGTCACAATATTTGAAGAGATAGTATGATGATGCTAACTGGATTCCTACTTTTCTGAGTGATTTTTGTTGATTAGGCTCGAAGCAGATATTCCCATAATATCTAGCATTCTAGCTTACGTTTATTTTGAAGGGATATGTATGATGTCTATTTTACTTTATAAGCTTACCATGGGGGTGACAACTACAACATTATCAGAGCTATAAGCTCAATGATAGAGTTGGCTACATGAACCAAAATTTTATAGCTGTCAACCAAGATACTCTCCCTCCATGCCCTTCTATCTAGTGCTATACTGCTATGTGTTCCTGTACGCCCAATTCTTTCATATTGCTCCTAACTCGCTCTACCCAAGTCATATATGGCTGGTTATTGGAGATGAAGTTTTTAAGATATGTTTCTTAAACATTTGTTGATCAAGGAACTTATTTTATCTCAAGAATGTATGGCGTTATACACTTATATCTTAACAACAACTTATTCACGTGTATTGTTTGAATATGGATACACTTATTTTATAAACTTATTTTATACAACGTTATACACTTATTTTATCTCGAATATGTATGACGTTATTCTTTTATTAACTGCTATAAGCTGTAACTGCACCATGAATTGTTTGAAAGAGCCAAGAGGCTTATTATTTTAAGATAAACTATCATAAACATCCCTCAATGGATAGCCTGTCGTGCTCAATTGTTAATGAGAACTTTTCTATTCATTTTTTTTTCCTAACGGTGAGACAGCTTAGATCAGTTAATAAGACAATTTCAATAGTGACGTTTTCTTCAAATGAAAAAAGATATGGGCCAGGCTTAGAGCAATAGTTACCTCAGAAGAGGGTTTTGCTACTATATATAAAGAATGATTGACTTTCAGCTTCCTGTTTTGTATTGAATAGTTGATTAGGATTTATAAAGTGCATGCATATAGTTACATTTTTGCTTTCATAATGAAGTCAGGATCTTTTAGTCTTTATCTATATGTTTTGAAACTTTTGTGGGCTATTTGCTTGTGGCCAAAAAGGAAATGCTTTATTTGTAGATAAGTTTTGGTAAGTTGCCGTTTTAGGCATCCCAATAGGCTTATTCATCTTGATTGATGCTGAGGGGCCAAAAGAGTTTTCTCATTTGTTTGCTGAGCTAGTGAACAGTAACTTGTCTTATATTCAGCATGCTTTCTTAAAAGTATTTGGAATAAGTTCCATTAACAATGACATTTATTTATTTTTAAAGCAAGGGCAATAGTAGGGATGCAGATCTTGCATCTAAGAGTTTGTGTGAATGACTCACAGGAAGTAGAAATGAACCTAGCCTATGTATGTTGAGTTAGCCGGCCTGTTTAGAATTGTAGGGAAGCTGTTGGTCCTTGACTCTGTATTATAGACTGGATAAATAATGTGAAGGTATTAAACTATGAATGTGATTTTCAGAGTTGAGTGAATGCCCTGATTTTATCTGCCTGCATGTTGCCTCTGGGTTTTCAGTGGGCATAAAAATGTTTGGTGAAGGAAGTTAATTATGCCATTTAGCTGTATAATAAAGCTGTTTGAGCTTATTCTCTGGGTGTTGGCCGAGCTTTAAGCCTTTATCCACTGAACCAAATTCTTAATTTCATGTAGAATGTTGGTTACAGTGGTATGCTCCAATATTCAATTCCTCATAATTTTATGTACGTTCCAATGTAATCAATTGATTTTTGGTCCTATTTATAGAAAGAGTCTTTCTTATAAGGTGAATTCTTGTCTTTTCCTAGTCTCTACTCTAGTTTTATGCTTGCTGGCTGTGTTCGTTTTGGTGAAGATTGAGAAATAATGCTCAAGAGTGCCAATGAACCCAAAGGTTTAAACCAGCCTTAGTACTCACAGAAGTTTGTTTTTATGAATTCTCTGGCATGAGGTGCCTAAACCTAAAAGCCTTATCCCTTGTTATTGTTCTTGTTGAGTCAGGAAATGGATTACAAGTACAAAGAAAATTAAGGAATTGGGGACACCTTGGGAGAAGGAAGTAGAAATAACTTAAGAAAGCATGTTTTCAAAATGAATGCATGAGTACTGGAAATTTATTTGTATTGCTACATGGTTTCTGTTTTTGCAACTCTGGTTAATATTCTTTCATGTTAATGATCTGTGCTATCATTTTCCAGTCTTTCATTGGCCTTCTATCTTTTCTCTATGTAGTTGCTGCACCTGTACCCAAATTCCCAAAGGCGTAACTGATTCTGATGCAATTTTACAGGAACCCTATGCTAAGTCTACCGAAATTCAGATGTATGTTATAAATGAGTAAAGAGACGTCATCTGGAGCTTTCTAACCCAATTATGAGGAACATATCTAGTTATGACGTGTATATGTTTAGGCAGTAAATTCTTCTGACACTAGGAACCGGAAGATTTTCTAGCTTTGATTTAGGCACGGCATAGATCCTTTAAACTTCGTATGTCTTTGTGAACCAAACTAAACTATTTTCGTATTGGGCTGCACCAATTTTGTTTTACATAACTTTGTGGGCAAACAAGTTCATCACTTTTCAACAGCTTCAATTGCCTGTTATACTTTTCAACAGCTTCAACTCTGGGGATGAGATGAAGAATTTTATGCTTATGCTTCTGGTTGCAGAATCATGAGTCATTGCCTAGGATGTTTGATATCTGGGATTGTTTGGTTTGGTGTTAAATTGTAAATATGAATTTGACTAATATTCTCCCAATCCTCTTATTAATTGGAGTGTTTTCTTGTATGAAGCATCTCACCTTCATCAAATAGCTCCGAAGTAGAATGAGTAGCAAATATTATGTCGCACACTGAGTAATTATGTGACGGGGGTTATGGCGTTGGTGAACCATGTGATAACACCCATTTATCAGATAGAAATATGGCATTGGTCACATGAGAGAGAGATTCCCTTTAAATTGCTAGCAACTGGCAAGCAAAGAAGACGACAAATGAAATGTGCATCTGATTTCAAGATCAAGAAGCCATATAGGATATTTTCTTGTTGTTTAGTTGAGTTTTGACACTCTCTTAGAAAACTTTTGGGCAAATTATTGTATAGTATTATCAGATAACATGACAATCCTGGGTGAAGCAAAAAAGTATTGGCACATTTGTTTATAAAAGAAGACTTGGGGACCTGTTAAGGTATTACTATATTAATTCTAAGTTTGTTTAAACAATTATATTTGTTCTGGTTGGTAGTTGAAATGTCTGTTAGAACTGTTGCTGCTGTTCCAATATTTGCTGCTCTGCACTGGAGTTCATAATGCTTTGCTTGTTCATGTTTGGTATTATACTGTAATGATTGGGTCTAAAGGAGATACCCCTATATATAATTTTTTAACCAATATGAGTAATATCATATGCTTGGCCACGCGTACGTGCAGAGATCATGCATTTTTTTATTGTATATTTGTAACTAGTTAATTATGCTTTTTTTAATAGTCTAATGTTTTTTTCAGTTGTTTACAGCTAATCATGGTGATATTGACATGGAAACATCTTGTACAATGCTGTGATCTTAATGGAAGTAAGTTTCAAGCACTAAGGTTTCTTATGCATTAGTTCACTGATAAAAATCCAAAGTCTTATTTTTTATTTTATAGAAAAGATAATTCATTTTGGAATAAATTAGCAGCTACTACCAGCCCCTCTGAGATTGGTGCTGCTATACAGATTAAAAAACAGGTGACAGCCAATCATAGGAAGAGAATTAGAAAAGCCCGACAAAGTGGCTTAAATTAAGGTTAGACAAAGCCAGTTAAATTGCTTTGGCCATAGGTTACCAAAGGAGACAATGTTTCTTAAAGTATTAAGATTTAAGCGGAAAGGTCATCTATAGCCATGGATTTAAGGGATTTACTAGGGATTTGTGGATGTGTCCAATTTGGTAAATGAGCTGGTGAGCTGGATAGCTCCGAGATGAATGTACGATATTTTGAATTTTTTTTTTTTTTTTTAAATCAAGGGCTGTTTTGTCTTTTAATTGTTTTTTAACAATATGATCTCTTTTGTTTTTGCAGGAGCCACAAGAAGTGTTTGTTTGCTTCTGGGCTTTCAAGTAACATAAGAGGTTACATTCCTGTTCCTAACATTTAATGTATGCGTGTTTTTGGTGGACTCGGTTAAACATCTTATTTCCTGCACAAATACTCAAAGGAAAACTCAAAAGCAAGTTTTAGGCTTTTGTCTTTTTAGGAATGTCAGTTGTATTGAGACGTTTGATTTGGGATTCGGCAGAGGGACTGGTGGAACAAGATTTCAAACAGATTATATATTAGAAGCCATCTACTGTCCCAGTACTAATAACTAAAGTACAACAGGTTAAAGGATCCCTGATGAGTTGATGCCTTTTATATAAACTGTTGGTGATGGATTTGGTGGGCTAGTTAAATAGAGTGAATTTAAAATGCAGAGTTTCATACATGAATAACATGATGCTAAACACGAATGTGAGGCAATAATAGATTGAGCAGTTACCAATGTAAGAAGATAAAGGAAACAAATAACTTCTAAATGCTATTAGTTGGGTTTCGTAGAAGTGATTTGTGGTTGAAAGGAAATTATTTAAATTGGATGATGTTAATGTTTACTTTGCCAAGTTCATTGCATGAGTATACCTACTGTCATGTCAGAAGAATAAGAAGGTGCTTTGGTTAGAAGATTAGGATAGTGCTTTGGCGTTTGGAATCCAGCTGAAAGCTGGCATATGCTAAGATCTTGGTTGATGTTTTAGCTTAGGTTGCATGACATTTAATGTTAAATCATCTGAAAAGATATTGGCAAACAAAGGGATAAGAACTAAGAAGATACTGCTGAATTTTTTTTTTGACACACTTCAACGTTGATGGCTTGTGTAGATTTGTCATAGGTTGATGTCTTTGATAGTGCCTCTTTAGTATAGCAGCAACTGTTTTTAACACTACTCAGTAACTTTTTTCTCCCGAATATGTAGTTTACTTGATTCTTTATTAGCTGTGTAGATCAAGGCTACAGAGATGTTTGCCTTTTTTTTATAAAGACATGTAACTAAACAGCAGAAGCAAACAGGCATATACTATTACCACTTACCAGTAATTGTTAATGATAACTTAATGGTCACTCATACAGTGTCTCAGTGATACAGAAAGTTCAGAAGATGCACGTTTCTTGCTTAATCGACGTTCATTATTACATCCTTAAAAATGGTAGACCATTGTAGGCTAGGTGTTAAGATAAAGATGTATGAAGCTAGGATTTGGGTTAAGAAATTAAATAAGTAGGTATTAGGAGCTAATTAGGCATGATGCTTCTATTTCATTAAATGTATAAAAATTTCACAATCTCTTTACAAGTAGGACAGAGAGTAGATCTCCTAGCCACATGCCTTTTGGGGACCATCAATTAGTAATCAGTTCTAACAGCTTCGAAGGACAATAGAATAATCAATAAAGAAGAAACCTCGTGGTCCCATGAGGGCATATAGTTGGTAGATTTGGCTATCTTGCCAGGTAATGTTAAGTTCACTGTGGAAACAGAAAGATGGAAGAACTGGATGATTGAAGTCATTTATATTGAGCTTCCTCCATTTGGTCTCAATGGGTAATGTTTGTTGATTGCAGATTCACTGGGTAGTACCTCCTTTGATGGGTCTGTATGGATATTGAGTCAGCTCTAGGCTGTAGTTTGCAGTACAAGGGCCATATAAACTGGTATACTGCAGTTAGAGTTGCTGGGTGGTCCTTAGCAACGCATTATTACGAGCAACGGAAATGGGATACAATATAGAGAGAAAGAGTGCAAACTCATTGCTTAGGTCGGATGTGGGGTGTAAATGTATGGGTTTGGGTAATTCGTAGGTCAGTTAATGAGGTTGAAAAATCATGTTCAATTGTTCATAACCCAATTTTTTTTATATCTTGGCTTTTAGCTTGCGCAATCTGTTGGTCCTGCTTTTTAATTACTGTCTGTTTAGAAGACCTATCAAGGTTGTTATGATTTTTGCAGCTATGAATATATGCAAATTTCTACATATAAACTTGTGACTGTGAATGCAATATGAACATGCACTTTAAGATAAGCTAATTAATGAGTCATTAATTATATTAATTATAAAATGAAACATTGATCGACTTAATGTCATTCTAGTGATTGTTAACACCTCAAGACAAATATGAGAAAGAAAACTGTCTAAAAGTCACGTTAACTACAAGTCAAATGATTATAACATACATATGTGACACTCTCTGTCTTTTACAAACAGGTTACTCCTAAAGTACTGACCAAAAAGGTCTTCATCTAATTCTGGTTGTTAATTTGTCATGTTTCCCTTCAGCTCAATGGCATTCAATGATTTGATATTAGCTGACTGAAGAATTTGCAGGTTGTTTAGGTTTGGATAATTTTGGATTACAAGTTAGAAAATGATGTCCCTATCTCAAAATTCAGCTCGATATTCAATCGGATCAATTTTAGACATGTAGAATACTGTGCGTTCACATCGGTATGCTCCAGATTGCTCCTTGCTAGAAGGTAATCATCTATTCATCTACATGCTTGATGTAATATATGATTAAAATGCTTTAAAAGTAGGGAAAGGTGTTCCAGCTTTTGAAAGAAACTCCATACTTTTATAGTGTAACTGTTTCTTTGCTTTATCTCTTCATCGGCTTAAGCGAATTAAGTATGGCATGGTTGTATTAAAAGCTCCACTCTCCGGCATACACCATGGGTATTTCCACTGTTAAATCGGTATATGTGCTTATCTAGTGCATTATTATACTTAACATACTGTAGTTCCAACTAATAATAAGCAAGGGGGACAAATAACACTTTGCTGTTTTGAAGCTCCAGATCATTGTCTTGAATTGTACAATATGGGAACCCTGGAATTTTTGCTCCAAATTTTGGGGTCTCGTTTAACTAGCTGAACCTACCCCTTTGTATTGTGCTCTGTGTCATTTTGTTTATTTACTGCTCATTTATCAATATATGCATATTGATTACTGTAATTCCTTTTGTTTATTTATGCTTTATGTCGAAATTGTTATTTTATCTTTCAAGAAATTCTTTCCTGTTTGTTATTGATGTTGATTCTAAACCTGGCAATTACTGAATGTTACTGATAATTGTCATGCCTTGGAATCATAGTACTTGTATTTTTTACTTTCTTTGTGTTACAACTTTCTGATTAACTTACATGTTGTCCTCGAATCACTTATATGCTCATGTATCCCGACTTAATATATGACTCTGATCTTTAGTCCGATTCTTATTAATCCCAATTCAGGATCTTCACTGGAATTCTTCAGGTATACAATGATCAGTTAAAATACTTTGCAGTCAGAAGACTACTATTCAATGCAGTAGTTGCATCACGTCTACTGGAATAGCTTGAAAGGTAATTGGTTGCACCACATATATGACATCCTTATGTACACATACGCGTGGTTGATAGAACATTTTGCTGATGATACCCTCTATTTCTGGATTATCTTTCTTAATACCTTGCCAAATTTTGTCTGTGGTTCACGTTGATAATTCCCTGAATAGTACTTAAATTATCAGTTTAAATATGAATAATGTGACATCATGTGCTCTTTTGACTAACTGAATTCCTTAATATTACTATATTTTCAGACATTATCAGATAACAATAGCTGTGCCTCCTCTTTTGTCATCCATCCTAACAATAAAAATGTGAAACCTACTTTCTTTCTCATGAAATTAATATTTATATACCAATGTTTCATGCTTTTACTAAGATTCATGCCCCTTGCATACATTTTGAAGACACCAATTTGCAACCCCTTGCTCATTGTAAAGTCAATACCTATTTTTTTCCCTGTAGGTTTTGAAGCATCCGAGTTGTTTTCGACGTCGCGTTCCGAAAACAGTATTTGATGATGATTAGTCGCTACCCACACACCCCCTTCATCCCCCTCAAATAATTTTCCTGTGCTTATATTTAATTGCATCTTGTTAATAATTTTAATGACAAGCTTAAATTAGTTTATCTGATCATCTGGCATGATAAGCTGTCCTCATTACTGATGTTCCCCTTTGTGTGCAGTTAGGCTTTCCGCGTTGTTGATATCAGCTTCTTCCTAGTTCCTACTACTGTACTACTGTCTACATTATTATTATTTGTCAATTCTATTATTCCTTTGCCTTGACAGCGATGTATTATTGTGACATTCTAATGTATGTCACCATGATAATAAGCGTTGACATTTTTACTATTTTTTTGGGGGAAATATCATTTCCTTTTAATAAATGGATTTTGAGAGTTGTGTTCAAATTTGTTTATCTTATTTGCTCTTCATGCACCTCATTGAAGTGCGCTGATGGAGATGAAATTTGATTTTGATACCTGTATCTATCCTTTTGAACTTTTTTTTTTACCTCAAGGCTTACTTCCATCGTCGCTTGGATTGAAGTGTTGCATTATCCTAAACGCTCACACCATAATTACTTATGAAATATGAACACTTTTTAAAATATTCTAAATTTATATGCATGAAAAGTGCCAAGTGCTCATCTAATGGAACAAAGATGTGCATAACATAAACATTTTGTTATATATTACAAGGTGTCAGTCAGGAGCAAATGTATACAAATATATACTTAATTACATTGAGTGACACAAGAAGCTAATTAAAAAAGAGAAAGTAGTCAGTCCTACAACTAATATTTTCACATAGGGTTAGTGTTTTGGCAAAAAAGTTAGCAAATCATCAAGACAACCAAAAAAAGGAATTAAGAAAATCAAAGAAAGGGAGTAAAAGGAGTAAAAGTTATTTTGTTGGGTTTTCTCTGTATGTAGGACATAAAATATGTAGGTTAGAGTCGGATCTAGGATCCTACAAGCTCCGAAATATAATCGGAGCTCCGAATTGAGGGTAAAGGAGCATCAAAACGGTGGGTGCATGCTTATAATTGGGTGATATCTCAAATGTGAACTTTTGCAAGATCATGGCTATAGCTAATTTGGCTTGTAACAATGCTAGGTTTTGCCCGATGCACTGGCGCCCCCCAAGGCCGAATGGCATGAAGGCGGTCGGGTGGGTGGCAGCCCGGGACACGCCTTGAGAGAAACGGGACGGGTTGAACTCCGATGCATCTGGGCCCCATATTGTGGTATCATGGTGAACGGATAATATTGGGACTAAGAGCTCGGTTTCTTCTTTAATGTTAATATCTCCGAGGTCTACTTGTGTTTTGGCTCGTCGAATTGTTGCTACTACTGGTGGATAGAGCCTTAAAACTTCAGATATGATCATTGATAGCTGCATGAATAAGAAAACATGTTATTCAATTGTACTTTGAGAGACAATAATTAAAGATATAATTAACACAAAATGCACATGAATTCTAAATTTCCTTGCCAAATTTGACATTTTACCGTAATAGAATTTTCTTTTGTCAAATAAATTAATTATTCACCAACTAATTAAATTCCTTAAAATGTAAGCCATACTAAAAATAATTTAAGACAATGGCCATTGAAGAATAATCGTGAGAGGCAGAAATCAAGTGTGCCATTTTTATTTATATTTTATTTTATTTTATTTTTTTGTAAAAAAGGCACACCTTAACTATTGACTTTTTTTAATAACAATATCATACAATATAACATACAAAGTACTTTATAAAATCAAAATTGTAACATCAGCTTCGCGAAGCTAAGAAATATACTTGGAATATCCAACCTATCCACAAAATAAATATCTTAATAAACTAATTATATTATAGGTGGAAAAAAATACTTGTATAAAAATTAGAGTTTAAATACTCTTTTACTAAATAAAATTACTATACTTTTAAATTTTTTGGTGACAAAAATACCAAATGACAAAGCACTAATAAGATTGTACTCTTATCTAATTAAGGACTGTCCTTTTTATTTTGTTTTAAGTACTTTTATTTAATTAAAAGTTTTTTTTTAAAATTAAAATTGAAAATTGGTTATACTATTAATTCCTCCTGGAATTAGACAAGAATATGCATGCGGACAAAAAGAAAAAGAGCAAATAAAATTAGTCGGAAGAAGAGCACTTTAAATTAGCACTACTTACCGTCTTTAGATTTGAAACATCATCTTTAGTTGGGATATCACGTGCTCCACACACCCTCATAACTTCCTCACGTGCCAATTGCTGCCATTGAGGGTGCATTGCTAAGAGTATACTTGTCCATATTAACAAATTTGAAGTTGTGTGTTTCCCAGCAAAAAAGAAACTCTTACACTCTTCTACTATATCATTATCTGTTATCTTTTTTTCACTTGTGTTTTCATTATTATTCATGCTTGCTTCTATTAAAATCTCCAATAAATCCCTATGACATTCCTCTCCTTCTCCTCCGTCTCCGACTCCGACTCCGACTCCTTCTTCCTCCTCCTGTCGTCTTAATAGACTCTCTTTCCTCTGACTAATCAATTTCATTAATGACGCCTCGATCTCCCTGTCTAGTTTCCACACCGTTCTGTTCCTCTTCGTTGGCAGGAATCTGCGACGAAATAAAAAGGACAACAGCAACAACAACAACAAAACGCGTCAATTCCCTTCCTATATTATATTATTATTAATAATAAAAATAGTTATTATTAAGCGTGCTTGGCTGGGAGTATATCAGTCTTGTACATTACAGTACTGCTGCTACTGTATGTATATACGTGTATACACCAGCAGCAGTAGCAGCAGTACTGTCGAGTACCAACAACGAACATTTTTAATTTACATACCTTTGGCCAGGGAAGAAGACCTTTTGGAAGGACTCGGCGGCGAAGACGATTTGCTTAGCTTGTAATTGGTAGATCTTCTTGCCATCATCATAGCTAGCTCCGAAAATAGTCCTTGTAATAACCTCTTCTGTCAAATTTTGAAACCATTCTGAGACTTCCAGTTCAACCTTGCCCGAATTCGAAATCAAGGACCACTTGTCCAACATATGGGCCACACTCTTTCCCATTATGGGTATCATCATCTGCTCAACATTTACCATTTTTAACCATAAGTTTATTACATTTTTATGGGTTGTAATAAATGTAAATATATATAGATATATCATGTGTACATGATATCTTTCTTGTTACAACTACTAAGATAAATAAATAACGTAGTCGTTTTAAATTAAAAAATATTCCGTACATTAGCACTTGTACAATCCAGAGTGTAACTTACTTTAAGGTTTTCGAGATGGAAGATGGGTGAAATGGTCTTGCGACGATGAGCCCATACGTCGCCTTTAAGAGATATGAGACCATGACCTTCAAGTTTTTTTACAAGAGGATGAGACTCGTATTTTTCGTAGAATTCTGCTTTGGTAGATAAAATCTCTCTTATTTGACCCGGATCCGCTATGGTTAGTCTTGGGGTCGGTCCAAACCATATAAGGTAAGTTGCACCTGTTGAAATTTTTTCAATAAAATGGTTAATTTTCATGACTTAAAACGAAATTATGGTGCAATTATCATTAATCATGTGAACTGTAATAATACTTTCTAATTAAGTTGTTTTAAAACATAGGAGAAAATTTATTACATGATCATGAATATTTGATGATAAAAAAACTAGTTAGGAAATTAGGAAACAAGAATTGAGGAGAGAGAAAGAGAATAATGTTATTATGAATTTATGATGAAAGTGAGAGGGTGGAAAGAAGACAGCTCAAAAACAGTTCCTATGTAGTACTTCCAAAACATGATCCATGAATTTTTTTTAAAATCAAATTAAATTAAAACACCCTTAAAATTTAACCCAATATGCATTGCTTAGAATTAATTAAAAAAAAATTGTATGAAAAATGGACAATTTTTTTGTATGCAAAGATGGGAACAAGGTGAAAAAGAAAGGAAATTGTAGAAAAAAGTTGGATGCAATAATATTTAGAATTTCATCATATTTTCAGATCACTCCCAACCTTTCAAATCAGAAGTAAAATCAATTTTTTGGCATCTTTTGAATCAAAAGAAAAGAAAGGTTTGTTTTCTTCCCTAGCCACCACTTGACATAAACATGACAAGCAAAACATGATCATACACACAAACACAAAATTCTTGCTTAGGGCGAGCAAGACATACAGATGCTTGCCAAAAAGTAAGGAGGTTCAGATGTATGCAACCTTACTAATTATTGGTATGAAACGTAAATTTATGAAATAAAAAGCGGGAATTACTTACCATAAAGTTTCTTCCAATGATGGTAGAAAGGAAGGACTCTAGGAAGAATATTATGAGAAAGAGTCATAGGTTGTGAAGAAGCTTTGAGCATCATTTCCACCAATTCTTTCATATTACCAATGAAGATATTATAAGGAGGCCCTTTAATTCCTTGATTTGAATAATGCTTTGCAACTTTTCTTGGTCTCCACCATAATTGTAACACTAATTTTGTTGCTATTGCTATTGTTACCAATACTACCACATTTACCCATATACCCTTCATCATCATATTCTTACCATCTTCTTGATCAAAATCCATTTTTTTCCTAGAGAGAGAAAGTAGAGAGAGAAAGTGGAGAAGAGAAAGAATGAAGGTAGGAAGAAGAAATGTTTTTCTGTTTGTTTTATATAGAGAAGGCTAAACGGGCCGCCATTAGAGTCAACTTGTGAGGGCAATTTTTGTAATTTATTTTATTTGTTAAAGATTTTTGATGAAAAGACTAAAATACCCCCATCGTCTTGTGGGGGGGTTATTGATAATTGCAAATTTTTCCATAAATTCAGCACATCTCTTTTGCTGCGTGTTAGTAATTTAATTTACACTTGGTTGCCATATGGCGATTTTTAAATTAATTATTATTCACATCGTATGAGATTTCTCCACCTTAATGACTGAAGAAAGTTGTACATAACATAATTAATGATTTTGATACCAACAATATTCATCTTTAGAAATTTATAACAAAATCAGGCGTGATTTCGTTTTTCGTTTTATTTAATACTATTGTTTGATCTTATTTTGTAACATTTATGTAGCTTCTTATTCCTTTTTTTTAATTTTTAATTTTTGAGTAGTAGCTTCTTATTCATATCTTCACTAATTGATATGACATTATTTTGTAATCTAAATTTTCTTTCTTGTTGCTATCCTAATTTTATGAGTTTTAAATATACTTCCTCCATCTAATTTCATAATCAAATATAACCTCCAATAATTAAAGATATGATATTAATTCACAAAGATATTTTTAACAATAATTGTTATTTACTACTCTCATGTATTACCATTATCAACACTAAATTTGATTATTTGTTAGTTACTCGAGTTGTCGAACCCTTGACTGAGGAACTGAAGTAATCCCAACCACACGGTGTGGCCAAGCACATAGAAAAATCCCCCTTAATACCATGTATCTGGTTAATTGAAGAGAATAAGGAATATATAATCAAATCTTTAATTTTTAAATATACTTCCTCCATCTAAATTGTTTTATAATCAAATATAACCTCCAATAA